GGGGGGGGTGTCTGGCACATGCACCTGGTATATGTTGCCAGGCAGCAGAAAGTGGGTGTGGTCACAGGAGAGCAGGGCGGGGCAGGCAGAGAAAATGAAGATATACAACAAGAGAGGAGGAAGAGTCAGGCAATTGGCTCCCTGCAGAGGACAATTTCCAGCTCGCCACGGTAGAGCTTCCCTCCGTCAGACAGGCTCATGATGCTCTGCTTGTAGCCTGACAGGTTTTTCAAGTCCACCTCCTGAATGAGAATGAAAGGGCGGCATGACAAGAGTCAGTAAAGCTGTGGAGGCCAACTATTGACATTAATTTGAAATTCTTAGTTATTTTTAGGGCTGACCCCCAATAGTCGACTTATTCGTTAGTCGCTGAGAAGAGTTTTAGTTGTCGCACTTTTCATTAATCGGATAGCTGCAGAAAAATAAAAACCATGCCTTGCCTACATATATTATATAATGCTAAAAGACTCAAATTGCTACACGTTCCAGGCTAAAAGTCAGCACCCTCACCAAGCAGTTAGATGTACTGAAGAAGCTGTGTTAAATAAGCCCCACTGCGTGTGTAGAGCTAATCATCATCACATCAGGACCACAAAGAAAACAACAGACACAAGAGTTTATTGTGTCTGTTGTGACGTTGTTGTAGTAGTGTGTGATTTAATGTTCTCCTCACAATGTCAACAAAACTAAACAAAGAAATTTGAAATGTGACTTGAAATTTGTTCTCTCAATCAGAAATGTATGTTTCTAATTTCTGCTAAAAAGCAGCCCCTTGCCCTGTATCCATTGTCTGGCCTCATCCTGACAACAAGACAGAGGACTTCAGTGATATCATCCGAGCCTAAGACACAAAATGCACCTTCATCTCATGCTGAGATTGTGCCCGTGGTTTGACAAGCTTTCAGTCAAGGCTTGCACCAATATACACATCCTGAATGGGGATAATAGGCAGTTAATACGCTTGGATCATTTCACGGTATCAATAAAGCTTCTTCAGAACATGCAGCTTGTTCACTTGGCATGTTTACTACTTCTATTCTATTCTATTCTATTCTATTCTATTCTATCAGGCATAGCATGTTATATCAAAGAGTTATGTTTAAAATACATACATATACACACACATATTGTTTTCATCTGTTCTGATACATGGTATGTACAGAATGCACACGAAGTAAGCAGCTGAGGGGAGCAGACATAAATCTATCTGGTTCCAAGTCACCAGCCAGGCCACATTATGCTGGTATACCATAGCCTGTAAACCTTTAACCAAAGCCCCAATCTCACCTTTTTGTTTTTCTGGTAAAGGTCTCGTAGCAGGGCGTCCAACTCCTGCTCATCAATGTAGCCATTCCCATCCTGAAAAAGGTTGACAGAAACATTCAGAACGGACTGGAGGGCAAGACGGGATCATTGGGGTGATCTGTAGACATTTTAACTACAGCTGAACAACATGTAGCTTCCCTTTTACACCTGATTGTATTATCTTTGATCGAAAAATCCTGAATTCCTTTCCAAACAGTGTGCCACAGCTATGTTTAGAGTTTGAGCTTCCGGATTTTTATTCCCTGCTCTGCTGCTCAACTTCATTCAGTATTTTATGGCAGCTGTCATGAATGCACCAGCCAAACGGCCATTCATGAATGATGATTTAGAAAAGACTTCCCATTCACAACTCTGTAAAGAGGGTTAGCTGTAAAGTCAATAGAGAGCCGCTTTGCTAATTAATGAGTTATGTCTCACAGTAGTGTTTAGAGCTTGGGGCCAAAAAATAAGTCCAAATTGTTGGAAATGTTCCCTTGGCATGAGGCACAAAACCACGTTCTGTTCATCTAGGCTCAGTCTCAAGATGACTTCAGAGCTGAGTGGCTTGCCAGTCTTATTTTTCACTTTTGGAGATGCTCTTTGATGTTTGCAAAGACTGAAGTGTCCTAGATCTTGGGAATAAAGTGTGAATTCTATTTATTTTCACTTTTAGGCTGAAGACCCACGACTCTGCAGAGTGTTGGGAAAGCAGAGCGACATCAGGTATCAGTCAGTCTAAGTTGCATGCCATCTTGCATTTTAGACATTACAGTGTGGCACTGTGAGCCATGTTAGTGTTCAGCTGACCCGACACACTTTGCCCTGCCCACCATCTCTCAGCGCCAGTGACAGCCGCTGCCAGTGTTTCAGCTGCAGGGGCTGAGCTCATAACAAAATGATGAAACTAATTACACACATAAATGGTAGTGCTCCATTCGCAGAGAGAGTCTACACGAATGGACCGCAATGGCTCATCTATAATTGAACGTTCAACCCTGTCCTCTGCAAGTGAGATAGACAGAGTGCTAGCCTTCAATGCAAGACATGAACATGCACGCAACCCTCCACCCCCCACCCCCGTGCTCAATGCACTGTGCCATTTTGTTATGTTTGCCATTTTGTTTGCCAATGTCACTTACACTGACACCATTGCTACCATTTTAACACATATTTTTTTACTAAAAATTCGATTTAGATTTTAGTCTAAACATTTGGTTGTAGGCTACCCCCTCCCCGTGAAACAAATGAGATTTTACTTTTTATTTTAGTTCATATTTGCCTCACAGAATGAATATTTAAAGTCTTCTCAAAATTATGTTTTTCTTCCTCTTCCTACAGCTGGATGTTTGCCCATTACTGTGCAGAATGATGTATGTGCAGAGACACTAGAAGACACTTAAAATCTTATTCTAAGGGGCAGGGCATGATTTGTGACATCACAAACAGTTTGGAAGTCAATCCTGGTCCAGTATGCAACTTGTACAGTGTGATGTAGAAAGCCACCAGTGCACATCCACTGAGAATGAACTTCAGTGAAATAGGAGACATCTTGTGTCTCGCAAGAAAACTTTAGAAATGAACATAATTTGCATATTTATAGATTCTGGAACTTTTAATGAGGTAGTAGATTGTTTTTTAGGATATTAATGTGGATATTTTTGGCAGAAAAAAATGTCAGACATACATAATTTTTCCAAGCAGACTATAAATGTCCCAATAGATAGACAGCAAATGTGTCATTAAATTCAATTAAAATGTATATCACTAACTAACAATAGCATTTAGCACATACAAATTAGACTGCTGCTGCTGTGGTACATCAGCTGAGTTGTTTATTTCTTCAAAAAGTGAGACAGCCTCCTTATAGATACCTAGATTATGGCTGGTCCCCCAGGATGACAAAAACTCACAAGATATCATAAATAAGAAAAATGATTTAACAGATGTACAATGCGCAACTCTCGCCTGTAAATGTGCTCTGCTCCCGTCTGTCTTGTATCACATCACTCCCTGTGGTCCCTCCCCACCAATCTACTGCTAATATGGAAAAGGTGGCCATTAACTGAACCACTGCTCAACCACCCTGAGCTGTTTACAAAGGGACAGGTGTGCCGAGCCTCACTCATTTCCCTAGGTAGTTGGGGAGCGCCCTAGGTACAAAACAAGGAATTTGCATATTTATGATGAGGGAAACTCCAAAACAAACAGTGCTGAGTCATCCAGACAACTTGACTCAAGAGTCTAGTCTATTTTTTACAATGTGTGCAATGTTACAATTTGTTCCTATTGTAAATGTACTATACACATTTTCTTTCTCCAAGTCCTCTCGCCACATTAGCACATTAGCTTTCAAATACAGTACACTATTATGCACGAACAAACCTACCTGACTCAGAGTCCCTAGCCTCTTTTCAAGCTAGCTTCTTCTCCACTAGCCTCGGCTAAATTAAATTTGTATCTACAAACACACCTTATTATTTTAACCAAACAACAGCTCCCATGATGTTTTGATAGTTCCCGTGGCTAAAACTCATGGGGGATGTAGTTGTTACAAACAAAATAACTTTAGCTAACTGTTTCTAATTAAATATGAATGATGAAGTGTTCTAGGATTCTAGGAGATACCAATTTAGCTCAGAATACGTAGACAGAATATCCCCGGAGGATCCCAGTTTTCCAGTACGACAGATGAAAGAAACTGCCTGTGCCAAAATGCCTTGACGACTGAAAGCGAATGGAAGAGAAGTTAACCCAGAAGTTGGGCCAGACCTCAGTCAGTGTTTGGTGTGTGTGTATGAAAGAAGTCGACAACCCTACCTTGTCGTAGTATGTGAAGATGGCATTGAACTGCTCAGTGGTCAACTTGACACCCTGTAAAAACAATGTTTAAGTCACAGTAAGACAAAACTCCAGTATAAGTGGTTTAGTGACACTAATTGTGTGTAATATACCCATTTTATTGTGCATGAACATTTTGTTATGCACCATGTTTGTCACATACCTCAAATTTGAGTAAGAAGTTCTCCTGAACTGGGAGAAGCCTGTGGGAGAGAGGGCCATTATTAGTGGACATAAAAAGTGTTAAATGATTCAAATCCGATGACGGTGAACATCAGCAGGCAATGTGTTCCATAGCGTTTATATAGCGAACAGAACCAAGTAAATTTGCACATTACCTTGCCATCTCTGACAGGCCCAACTTCCCATCTCCATTCAGATCAAACATCCTGAGCTACAAAGTGGAAGCAGAACAGAGATAGGAAGGGACAGAGGAGAGAGAATGAAAGCGAGGTTTTTTATAGGTATATGCTGTCAAATTGAAGGCAAATGTGGTTCCATGAATTTCATTGACTGAGAAATAGAATGGACAGCCATAAAGTCTCTACCTTTATTATAAATCCACAACTTTTTTCATAGTTCTAGATGTTTAACAGGGGGCCAGTAAAGGGACTGTCAATGAAGCTGATGGTGAATTTCTTACAGAATAATAACCTAATTCTCTCTTTTAGGGCAGAGTAAAGAGTAAAATTAGATTTAGATTTCTCACAAAGAGAAGCTAATGATGGACCTTTGTACAGTGTTACAGCAAACATATTTGGTATAAAACCATTAATTTGGTTTTATGAAAGGTATACATTAGGGGTTAGGGAACAGCTGTGTGATATATGCTACTCACAATAGCCAATTTAAGAAGACTGAGCTGTGGTTTTACTGTAAAGCTTGCACAGGAATCACTATAGCAAATGCAGCGCCTGTATGATATTGGTACCTATGTCATTATTAAGTAGGGATTATTTTGACAAATTTCTACCAACTCGCTGTATTACCTCAATTATCATTTTACCAAACGTGTAATAAAGGTATAAAGAAACCATAAAAACATGTATGTCTATAAGCGTGTTAAGAAAACTGCTTCAGCAAATCAGGTCAGGTCAGCTCTGAGGCTTCCTGGAAGAAGCAGATGTTAGCACATCTGGGCTGTAAACACACAACCTGCAGGACATGATGGGTCACGACCACTCAGCCGCACAGCGCTGCTGCCACCGGCACGATAGGTCTCCGTAGTCCTCCTGGCCAGATGGACACTAGACATACACCTTTCATAAACAGTGCAGACGGCTCACAGTGTTTCTGTAGGATTTGTTGGTGTTAACAAGATTTTACTTTTTATTTTAGTTTAGCCATTTCTAGGGTTTTTTTTAAATTACTTTGAGAGACTCTGATAGAAAATCAGTATGTGTTTTATTTGTGTTTTCTCCCTATTATTTTCCAAGGTTTATATTACTGAAAGCTGAGACAGGACCTTGTTTACTACAGGTGAACAGCGTCTTCTTGTAGCAAGGAACACAACATTGAAACGTTAAACCGACTGGCTTACTTTTAAAAATCAATAAAAATTAAAACGATGACGCTTGTGTTCCTGATACTGAGCAGCGTAAGGTTAAGCTCAACAGAGTAGTGATAACTGTGTGTGTGCATGCATGTGTTTAAGAGAGAGTCTTACGATAGTCTGTGTGTACTCCTGGAGCTTCTGGTCATCATAGTGTCTGTTAGCCTTCTCCAGCAGGTCTGACAGAAAGCCCTGAAGACAGAGACACATAAAAAAGAAGTGAGGAAGAACATGCAGGAGTACATACTCAGTACAGCTATGCAAGAGCTTGGGCATAAAATATGCAGCCGAAGATTCAACGCAACCAACAGAGGTCATAGATTTTAGAGACTTATTCATCCATTTATCAGTATCAGTTTGACATTCTGAAATATTCTAAACTTCTAATACAAAACAGCAATCTCCTCTCTCACACAACTGAGCTGTGTAAAAGCTGTGTAAAGAAGTAGTAGCAGTAACATGTACTCAAGTATCCAAAGTAAAAGCAATGGTAGTGGAGTTATGGTAGAGAGCAAAGGTTAGTTTCTCCAGTTTTGAGGATTTCCATGTTTTTAGATAAGACTGATAAAGGGAAAGAGGAACAATTGAAGAAAGGAAAATATAAAGGAAAGGTTAAAATAATGAAAGATACACTGAAGGAAAGATAAAAGAAAGTAGGAGGGTGGGAAAAACATAAAGACAGAAAGAAGTAAAGGATGGTGAGATAGAAACATGATATCAGTGGTATTTTATCAATGTATCCTGGGTTTTGTATTTAAAATCTTTATCTGCAGAGTTAAGAGTAACTACAGCCATCAGGTAAATGTAAATGTGATGCAGTAAAAAGTTAATTTCCCACTGACATGTAGTGCAGTTAAAGTGTAGTCATTTAAAATGAAGGTACTCTAGTACAATTATCTTAAAAGTATTTATTACATAATTTTTACAGTATATGAGTCGATGTATTCAGATATTTTCAACCTTTGCTCACAGTCATGAGGTGAGACACATGTCTGCTGCCTGCGATCTCATCTGCATTTTTCTAAAGCTAGCAAAAGGCCACACCTGAGTAACTCATCGGCACCTGGTCAGCTGGAAGAAATGTGACGCCATGACAACCAAAGCAGCCCGATCTGTAGGTGACGCATAATCACTGACCCCATTAATGCTTTCCTCCCCAGTGTGGAGCACTTTCTTTTATATCATTTGACACAACATTTCCAAGAGGTGTTGAAGTGAATAACATTTGTGCAATCTGCAAAGCTTTTTGCATCTGAATCCTCACCTGAAAAACACAATCATGTTCATTGGGGAATTCCTTGTGTAGCCACTTAACTCTCCTCTGTCAAAGCTGCTGCCTGGCTTTGCTCGCACAAATCAAAATAAACCAGTGTCGAAACATTTTGAAATGTTGTTCAAGTTTTTAACTAATATGTCACTTGATGGCCCTGATGATGGCTACAACTTGGTTCGTGTTCAGTATATCTGTTTCTTATCTTTACTTGTTCCTGATGGCAATTCTAGATGTACATGATGAGTACAATGTAACTTCACCTCTAAGTGTGACTTTTTTAGTCACAAACCACTCCAGTAAAGAGCTCAAAGTAAAAGGTGTCATCAAATGCAACACCAAAAACGTTAATTATATGATCAAATGCCCATACGGCCTCGCCTATACTGGAAAGGCAAACTAAAAACTTACCTCACTGAACACTGAGGCAGCATAAGATTAAAGGTCCAGTGTGTAACATTTAGGAGGTCTATTGGCAGAAATGGAATCTAAATATATTCATAGACCTTTAAGTGTATAATCACTTGAAATTTGTTTTTTGTTACCTTGGAATAGACGTTCCTACAGATTCTTCTCATTTTTGTATGTTTTTGGTGCTTTACACTGTTGATGGTGTCTCTACTACCAGATGTAGTAAACCAGAAGAGTATAGAGAGGTGTGTAGAAGAAAGGTATTTTTAAATGATCAATGAGAACTCTATTTCAATCCATTAAAATACAATCTATCTGTATTCTGTATATCTATATTGTGATTGACTGGGATTGATGTGCTATTAATGTGTATTAAACTGTATACGATGAATCTTTTTTGGATTTATACTGCATTTTGTTTTGTGGACCTTTACCCATCATTAGAGAATTGCAACTATTTTTTATTGCATAGCCTAACATAGCATAACCATAGTTTGATGCATGCTTTTACAATGCGGTCCTATTACTACCTTCCTGTGTATAGTTTTCTTTATATTTCCTATATTTTCTTCTATTAGACTGCAATGTTACTTTGTTTGTCTTTGTGCCCGGGAAAGATTGATACCACTGTCATATTTATACACTAAATAAGTTTTTCTTGGTAACAGAAGATCCTGCCTCTTTGCACACTGAAGTCACAAACTAGCCACAAACTACAAGTTGTGGTTTTACAGGAAGCGTGCAAGGTACTATTTTGTGGCAACAAGTGGCCAGACACAGAGGACTTCCGCAAGTTCACAGGCATCTAGTGGAGGTGCTGATGGGCGTTACCCCCTTCTTTAAGCTAAGCTAAGCTAATT